TTCCTTGCCTTTTGTCCTCAATAATAATGTGTGAATTTTCCAAAAACAACATGCTTGTTAATTAGTTAATGTCTAAATCACACACACATCCAGCCTGTTAAATTATTCTTGGTTCAGAACAAAACTGAACATTAGATGATATAAAAAACTCCCCTTAGACATCTGTGACAGAGTTTGCAATGTTTCAAGTGAGCAGGTGCAATTTGTCATAAAGACAAAAATATATCATTATCAGATGGTTTTAACAGAACTTTTTATAAACTGTACTAAAAATGGGCCAGATTGGTTGAGAAGTTCTGTGCAGTACAAAATTAAGCTCCCAAAGAAAAACAGTGAGTCATCCTGGGAAAATAATTATCATTTATTTTCTAGGTTTAAAATGTTGAATAATCCCAGTAATCCTTACAGGTCATCCAATATCCCCCCCCCCCCCCCCAAAAAAAGAAGAGAAATTGCCTAAAGCAGGTAGTACAGTAGCTAGAAATTCTACAAATTTCATTTGAAGAAAGAGGTTTAATTGTGGAGCATTTTTCAACAAAACAATGAAAAGTGGTTGAGTAGTATTTGTCAAAAGAGAGGTGGAAGGGAAGGGAAGCGGGTGGGACATTGTCAGGGTTGGTAAAAGCTGGAGAGAAAAAGTAAAAGATATGATACAATTGTCCAGTAATCTTGATTTTTTCTTTCTACAATCACAAAGTGTTTTGACTAGTTTAGCTTAGTGATGGATTGCCTACTAAAATGAATGAATATGAGATATACAATACGTAAATATAGTAAATGTTCAATAAATGTAAAACGAAAGGGACAATATTCTCCATTACAAAGCTGATAGGACTGGAGATTGCACCTTGTGTGCACAGAATCAGGTATCAGAACTTTCCAAACTTCAAGGAACAAGAAACTGCACAGGGGGGAAGGGGAAATGCAACTGATTACAGGTCTGGCTCCCATGTTGCTACCAGTTTAGTTTTAGGAAAAAACTTCTGCAGCTCTTCAGAAAATTAATTTGAGAATAAGCAATCCTTACGTTTGGCCTAAATGTTAATATAACCCTTTAATGGTAAATCTTTCTGGGTGCTATTGTAACAAAGCAAAAATCCAATGAAATTAGCATATGGAAATGTGAAAGCATCATTGTGGAGTCTGAATAATCTTTCCCAAAACTGGTGCTTTTGCTAAACTGCAGGGTGATCTCTTTTACCCTCTGCAAAGGTTTAGATAT